CCTGGCGTGTGGCGAGGCTGGGGGGAGGGGTGGAGGCTGGGGGGGAGGACCAGGGAGAGAGGTATGGAGGCTAGGGGGGAGGCTGGGGGGAGAGGGGTGGAGGCCAGGTGCCGGAACCAGACGGCAACGAAAGGAACTCCTGATTTAGGGGGAGAGGACGGAAAAATAAAGACATAAGACAAAGGATGGGGTCGGGAGGTCTGCAGCTCAGGACTGCAGCCCCGTTTATTTTTAACTCTCCTTATTTATACTATTAGAAGTCAAGAAGTAACCCAAGGTCACCATAGTGCAGAAAAGCAAGAAAAGTCTTTAATAAAAACAAGGGTGCAGAAAGAAACAAGACAAGGTCAACTGATAGAAAGTAAAACAAATTCTACAGACATAGCAAGGCAAACCCGGACACCTGGTGTTATTCATGAAAGCCAGTTCCTTGTACGTGCCTTCAAGTGAGCACAAGGGTCAAGATGACCTTGGAGCTTTACTGTCGGCTCCAGCAGCCAGGGATGGGGGAGGGGAGGCCAGGGTCGGGGGGCCTCTCGCTGCTGTGCTCACCCAGTTGTCCCACAGGATTTCGAGGGGACGAGGAGCCATTCCACTCCGTGGGACTCCCGATCGGACGTGAGTGGATTTGCTTCCCTTTCGTGGGCAGCCACACGTGGTGACACGGCGTACAATTATAACATTGTTCTTATCTAGCGTCTGTGAGTTGCGCCCAGGTCTCACCCCTTCCAGGCAAGTGTTGGATACTGGAGTTAATGCTTCCCAGGCCTCATTTTGGGGTTTGAGAGAAGATCTCACTTACTTTTCCCCAGGCTGGTCTCAAAGCGGCCCTCCTCCCGCTTCCACCCCTCAAATCCTGGGATGACCGATGTGTACCACCATTCCTGGTTCAAATATTTAAAAAATGGTACACGTGTTTGTAGCTAGTGTGAGAATGGGAATGTGTCTTCCTCTGTCATTTACGACGAGCTGGTGTCTGTGGATGTCAGCAATGCGTCCCTGTGGAGACGGTATGGGCTCCTGGTCCGGTTGGCAGAGGCGTCCCGTTTGTGGAGGGACCCTGGTCTTTCTCGGTGTCCTGGCAGGGTTCTGCCTCCGTGCGGAACACACCTTCCTGGCTCAGGCCCGGCCTCCGGCTCCGTGAGTGCTCCTCTCCTGGGCGTGAGCCCTCTGTCCACCTACCTGGTCCAGTGTCCCCCGAGGTCCTCTCACGTGCGTGCCTCCGGCCTGGGCCGGGGAGTGGGGGAGGGCGGCCGTGCCCGGACTCCCAGGACCAGGCCTCGGGGAGCCCCTTGCGGTGTGCGTCATGGTTTGTGGAGTGAGGCTTAGGACCAGAAGAGGGCTTGGGAGCTCCCTTGAGGCGTTGCTTTTACCTGGATGTGAGGCCCGGGCGTCACGCACCAAGCACCGCACGCGAGTGGGGCACAGACACCGAGGGACAGGACTCGTGTGAGGCAGGAGTGTGGCGTGGAGGTGGCAAGCGCGGTCTGCCACGCTCACGTCCGTCCGTCCCTCCGCCCCACAGTGCCCCTGTCGACGGTGATTCCGTACACACACTTTGATGTGCAGTTCTTGGAGAAATTCGGGGTCACCTTCAGAAGAGAAGGGGAGACTGTCACACTCAAGTGCACACTGCTGGTGACACCAGACTTAAAGAGGGTGCATCCGCGGGCCGAGTGGTACCACGATGGTAAGTGTCATGGACGCCAGTACCACAGCAATGAGTACCACACAGCCCAGGCCACGGGCCGAGCGTGCCACACAACCCAAGCCATGGGTTGAGTGTGTCACACAGCCCAGGCCACGGGTCGAGTGTGCCACACAGCCCAGGCCACGGGTCGAGTGTGCCACACTGGTTAGTGCCACGGCTGTCAGCACCGTGCTGGTGAGTGCTGCGGCCGCCGTCCAGGCTGGCATGGCCGTGGATGGGGGCCCCAGTGCTGAGGCCCCCGGGCAGGAACTGTCTCTGAGCATCAGCACGGATGTGGCCTTCACCTCCACCTGCGTATCAAGGCAGCCAGGCAGCATTTGGGATGGGGAACCTTGAACTCCTGGAGAGTCCCGGGCGGCTGTGGGGAGGGGCGGCATGCAGGTAACTCCGGCACAGGCCGGGGTACGGGGTGCCGGGCAGGGCCACCGGGGCAGCTGTGGGAGGAGCTGACCAGGTGTTGGGAGGGAGGAGAACTTTGTGGGAAAAGATCATTGAAAGGCAAGGGGAGAGACAGGGACAGACACAGAAGGACAGGGAGACAGAGACAGAAGGACAGGGACAGAGACACAGAAGGACAGGGACAGAGACACAGAAGGACAGGGAGACAGACACAGAGACACAGAAAGACAGGGACACAGAGACACAGAAGAACAGGGAGACAGAGACACAGAAGGACAGGGAGACAGAGACAGAGACACAGAAGGACAGGGAGACAGAGACACAGAAGGACAGGGACACAGAGACACAGAAGGACAGGGAGACAGAGACACAGAAGGACAGGGAGACAGAAACAGAGACACAGAAGGACAGGGAGACAGACAGAGACACAGAAGGACAGGGACACAGACAGAGACACAGAAGGACAGGGACAGAGACACAGAAGGACAGGGACAGAGACACAGAAGGACAGGGAGACAGAGACACAGAAGAACAGGGACAGAGACACAGAAGGACAGGGACAGAGACACAGAAGGACAGGGAGACAGAGACACAGAAGGACAGGGAGACAGACAGAGACACAGAAGGACAGGGAGACAGAGACACAGAAGGACAGGGACAGACAGAGACACAGAAGGACAGGGAGACAGACACAGAAGGACAGGGAGACAGAGACACAGAAGGACAGGGAGAAAGAGACAGACACAGAAGGACAGGGAGACAGAGACAGACACAGAAGGACAGGGAGACAGAGACAGAGAGGGGTGTAATAGAGACAAACACATGGATTTTTTTTTTTTTTTGGTCGGGTCG